CAAAACCCGAGAGCAGTGGTATGGCAATGTGACCTGTGGGAGGTGCGGGGCTTCCAACTGGTTGTTTCAGACCTGCGACACGGTAGGGACAGAAACTGAGAGTAGGTGTTTATAACTCTGATCGCAGTTTGGTGTTGTCACGACACCCAAGTGGAATTCATTTTTCTTGTAATTCATCTCTACAGTGTTTCACCAAAGCCTCAATCCCTGGTGAACCGGGGCAAAACATCTGTTTTATTTTTTTAATAAAGAAATGTATTGGTAAGTGCCACAATAAGGGGAAAATTTAAATCACTTTAATTTTTTACTTTTTTTCTTTATTGATTTTAGAGAGAGAGGAAGGGAGAGGGAGAAAAAGATAGAAGCATCGATGAGAGAGAACATCGACTGGCCGCCTCCTGCACGCCCCTCACTGGGGATTTGGCCCACAACCGGGGCATGTGTCCCCACTGGGAATCAAACCGGCGACCTCTTGGTGCATGGCTGACGCTCAACCACTGAGCCACACCAGCCAGGCTTAAATCACTTTTAATTCCACCATTCACCTAAACCACTTTTGTGAAACTAGGGGTTAGGAGTTGAGAGAGGTTTGCTTTTGTCTATATCGATCTATTTAGTGATTTTGCTGCAGCTTTGATTACATGTATTTTTCGGGGGGGAGTGGGGTGGAGGGTATCAATGGGGGGACAAAGGGGAGACGACATCTGTAATACTTTCAACAATAAAGATAAAAGTAAAGAGATGTAACATGACAAATAAATAGGGATACAAGGATGTGTCATCTGGTTCCAGCAATTTTGCCCAAGGGCTTTAAGCGTCTCAGCCTCTGCATGTCTGAAACCCTGGGAGCAGGCTGGAGTTGGAAGCCAACGTTTTGCCCGTCACCAGCTTGGCTCCGTTGCCCAGGACTGTCTGGGTTTCAACGCATGAGGTTCTGTCCTAGAAGGGCCACTGGTGCCCCCCTGGCTGACAGAGGCGTCCTGCCCTCCAAGCTCCCCTGCGAGGGTCCGGGCTTCCCCCAGGCTCTGCAGCCGCCGCCTGCTGAGGAAAGGAAATGTCCGTGGACTCTGCGGGCTCCGAGAGGAGCTGAGGAGCAGTCGGCATGGCCCCCAGTGTGACATCTCGCAGGGGGCAGACCCCACACTCCAGTGCGGGCCCCAGAATGGCCCCAGAAGGAGAAATAAAAAAGGCAATGTTGCCTCTGGGTGCGTTTCATGCCTGCCACCAACAAATGTCGGTGACAGGGCGACACATGACACACACAAGCGTTAGTTCATCTTTATACACCGTATAAGGCAGGATAGGAAAAAAAAATGGCTGGAGCAGGTTGCTCAAAATGAGGGAGAAGAGCGAAGAAAGAGGAATTAACAAAAACTCATAAGGCAAAAAGCAGCCCTAAATGTTTGGGGAAATGCATTTTATGTAAATGTAACATTTCCTTGGAGTTGAAGAAACTTAAAAGCATGCATATACTTTAAATCCCCGTCCCCATTCCTAACCTGAAAGACTACTTTCGTGTCAAGGGATTGAATAAAATTTGTCAGTTTGGTTCAAATGATGATCGCCCCAGACTTGGATATTTTAAACTCAGAAGGAGGCAGGAGATTCGGAGATTCACTCTCTCCCAGTGTGGCCCGGGGAGTCTGTGGGCCAGGCCCTCTCAGGCTGTCCTTGACCTTCCTTCCCTGGACTGTCTCCCACAGTCACAAACGGAGCGGGCTCGGACCCCATGGGAAAACCGGGGACTCTCACAGCTTCCCAGGGTTTGAGGAAAAATGGGAAGCGATGCAGTTACAAGCCCCTTTGCTCTGGGGAAGGATTACTGCCTTTCTCTTCCTTCCCACAGAAGCACGCATGACTCCTTTCTTAAGCAAAGACCATTCCCATACCTGATGCCCAGTGCCGTCTTCTCCCAACCCTCACCCATTCCCGTGGCCCACATAGAGCTTAGCACTGAAGTAGCCGCTGTGGTTTTTGTGACTTTGAAGATTAGGACTTCAAAGGACATAAAGGGTCGCAGGGTTAGAATCTCAACTAGGGAGACTTTTTCTTTGCTCTCAAGGAATCTCAGCGATGAGATCAACACGTAGGATTGATTCTGATCCCAGCATCTTCCTCCTGGTTGTGGTCATCCCCCTCCCCCTTCTGAGCACCGGGCTTTGGGAATGATTGATGGACTAGTACTTTTAGTTTCTCCGGAAGAGGCCACATCAAGGCTTCCTCAGGGTGGCTTTGCAACTGGGTGGATAGGGAGAGACTGGCCCAGGGACAAAGAAGAAAGTGCTTCCTTGACAGTGGTTGTAGGCCTGCTTTGCAGACGTAGAGTCCAACACCACGATGTCTGTGCAGGGACCTGTTGAGAATAAGGTCTCCTGAGCGGGGGTAAGAGAAGCAGGAAGAGGAAGGAGAGGAAGGAGCTCATGCACCTGTACTTTTGGGAGAGGTCCATTCTCAGCCTGGTTGTATGGAGAGCTCTTGGTGTGAATTACACCAGTGTTCCTCCTCAGACACAGCACCTGCAGCTGGAGTCTGCTGCTCTTGGCTGGTAAAGGGATCTGGGCAGGGGGGCAGCCATACCAACCGCAGCAGCCAAAACAGTTGGGATGAAGAATCAGTGAATTGATACATTATCTAAGGAGAAATTTAGATCATATATAGATCTAAATAATTTAGATATATATGGTATGGTATGGTATGGGATGGTATGGGATGGTATGGTATGGGATGGTATGGTATGGTATGGTATGGTATAGTATGGTATACATACTTCAAGGCATGGCACGAGGAGAACATCATATTTGATTAGATTGGATTACAGAATAACTCTGAAGGCGACATGGACATCATTCAGTTCAGCCCCTTCATCTTATAAAAGAGGACAGTCAGGTCAGAATAAACCCTCACTGATTCTCAATCCTTTGCTTTTGCTTGAATTCATCCCAACTCATGTTCATTGAATGCCTACTAAGTAAAAGGCACAATTTTAGGCACTGTTGCGGAATTACAAGACACAAAACAGCCTGTGCCTTGGGACTTTAGAGTTTGATGGAAGGAAGAAATAAGCATAGCATGCAAATCGAAACTCAGATCCCACCCCAAGGCAGCATGGGCCTTGTGCTGTGGACACCCGAAGGCAAAAGTGGACACACACAGGGTGGTCCATGCTGGTCTCCATGTGCTGGGAGGCCTTCACTCCGAATTTCTCCGTATTTCAAAGTTTGGAAAAAGAACATCCTGCTTGCTCTCCTAGTTGGCTGAGGCCGAAGAAGATAAGTATGCAAGTAGGGCTCTGGGAAAAGGGGGAAAAAACAAATAAACAAAGAACAAACCATCCCTTTTCAAAACGCCATCTTGCCTTGAAAGCTTCTTCAACTCTTAGCCTGGGAGAGCAAATGAGTGAAAGTTGTACTCATTAAACAGGCTTATTTTGAAGCTGTAGGCCAAAGGTCCTACTTCCTTGGGAGAAAAAAGTTGAATCCAGCCCCCCTCTCCCCTTTTAGCTCGGACATGTTTTTAGTACTGGGGTGGTTTCTGTCTTTTAAATTGTCCCGTGCCTCGGTGACACGTATATTAGTCCACCCACTTGAATTAGTGTGCTGTTTTAATGTTCCACCAGAATTTATGCATTGCTACTTGGGGTAGGATCTAGAATTCATGAGTTCACTCATCCTTTCGTTCATTCACTCACTCACCAAAGCATTTGTTGAGAGTCTGTTGTATGGGAGGCCCGTTCGTGTGGGTGGAAAATACAAGAATGAGAAGGGAAGTCTGAGTCCGCCCTCAGATGCTCACGGTCTAGTTGGGTGAGAAAAATAAGCAGGTGATTATATTAAAATATAACTCATGCTAACCTGGAGCTCCGCCAGGACATGGGGTCAAGAATGGCTTGGGGATATTCAAGGAAGTTTCTATAAAGAGATTGACCTTGGTTGAAACCTGAAGCCCTCGTGAAGTTTATATCATCTTCTATTATTGTCTTTATAGCATGTCTCATTGAAGGAAAATTACTCGGGAAACATTTTTTTGTTGATGTTATTAATCTCCCTCCTCTGTCATCTTAGTAAACAGTATTTCTCAAACCTTCTTTCCATCCTTGCTATCCTGAGGAGCCTTAGTAGACGTTTTTTTCCTTAATCACTAATTCCCATGAAAGTATACATAATAGAAATTCACCATTTTAACCATTTCTAAGTGTACAGTTCACAAGCATTAAGTACATTCACAGTGTTGTGCAACCATCACCATTATCCATTTCCAGAACTTTTTCTATCTTCCCCCAACTGAAACTCTGTCACCCGCTAAGTAGTAACCCTCTACCTCTTCACCCTCTACCTCTTCACTGTTCTGCGTTCTGTCGCATGAATTAGTCTATTCCAAGGACCTCATATGAGTGGACTCATGCAATATTTCTCTCTCTGTCTGGCTTCTTTCATTTAGCACAGTGTTGTCAAGGTTCACCCGTACTGTAGCATGTGTCGGAATTCCATCCCTTTCTAGGCTGACTAGCGCCATGAACTCGACCCCCACAGGTGAAATCCAGCGCACCTTTGTAGGGCTACAACCCGCTCTGATGTATAGGATGGTTTCCCACTCCCAAGGCCCATCACCCCGTGGAGAAGGCCTTGGGGACCTTGTTGGTCCTGCTGTCCGCTCTGTCCCCGGCTGCGAGCCCGGTCACTCAGCGATCCCTTGCGGAATACTTCGCAAGCCCCTTCCACAGCCTCTCCTTCCTTCTTGCTTCAGTCCATGGTGATTGAAAATTGCACTCGGGCCCTGGCCGGTGTGGCTCAGCAGTTGGAGTGTCGGCCTGCGGACCAGAGAGTCCCAGGTTCGGTTCCCGCTAGGGGCACGTACCAAAAAAAAAAAGGCACTCGGAGTAGTCACAGATGGACTTTGACCCTCAGCGCCTCACGCTGTCCAGCCAGACCTCCCAGCGTGCTCGTGTCCCCAGCTGCAGACACCCCTCTCAGTGTCCCTGTGTCTGTCTGCTTGCTTAACAGAAGTAAAGGATTACGAGCCTCCATTCGGTTCCAAGGTGCGGGAGCATCCCTGTGTCGAAAGCATGAAGGACAATGTGTTGCGAGACCGGGGACGACCCGAAATTCCCAGCTCCTGGCTCAGCCACCAGGTAAGGGGTGACTGTGTTGAGGGGAGAATCTGCGGTGACCCCGTAGGAAGGAGAGAATTCTGGGCTACGGGGTTTCAATCTGAGTGCAGGTTCCATTGTGTTCGCGGATCCAATTAGGTTTTGTTTAGAAAGAAAACTTCGATAAAGTGGGGTGGCCCTGTTCTGTTGAGTCCCGACTGGCAGGTAGATAAACGTTCGGAGAGGGCTCACGAATAATCATTTGAAGGGCAGTGGTCACATTGTCAAGGCCCCCGGGTTCCAGTTAAAATATTTTGTTTCTGGCCTCTCCCACTCACCCCTAGAGCTTTGCATAGGGAGTTTATGTTTTGTTCCCTCCGGGTCCCAAATGTTTTCTGGAAATTTTCAGCTGTAGCGGGAAGTACTTAGCAGAGAGAACTCAGCAGAGTGTGGCAGCCAGCTGGACCAAGAGGTGGCCGCCGTGTGCCCAGGGCCATGTGCCCAGGGCCGTGTGCAGCCGTGGACAGAGCTGAGCACAGGTAGTACAGCTCCTCACTCCGGAACGAAAGACGGCAAAGAAGGGGGGAATGCGAGAGAGCAAACAGAAGATCTGTCTGTTGGGATCGCCCTAATGGCTTGTTTCCTTCTTCCCTGGAAGTGTTCGGTGGGGCCGTCCACAGCGGGCAGTCACTCTGGACTGGCAGGGAGCCCTCTCCGCACTGTGTCGGGGCACTGGGATGAGGCAGTGGTCAGAGGCAGAGAACGGAGTGAGAGGTCGTGAGAACAGGGGGGCGGTCTCACACAGCCAGGATAGCGGGGATGCAGCGGGAGAGGAGCAGTGTGGCCCTGTGGCCCTGACGGCCTCCTTTCTGCTGTGGGAAACCTCTGTGGCCTCCTTCGGACGGATTCCCTCCCCAGTGAGAGCCAGGCTGTCACAGGTTTTCCGAAGGGCAGGGCAGATCAGATAAGAAACAGAAACAAGAAATCCGGCCGACGGGGAAGACAGATGGAGAGGGAGCCGGGCCTGTGCCCGTCCTGGCCTAGAGCCACGTCCAGGACAGAACCTAAGAAAGCAGGGACCTGCGGCCAGGCCCCGTGGCCAGGGCTTCGCGCCCAGGCCTGTGTGAGCAGCGACGCAGGGCTGTTTCACATCAGCTCTGACGTCAGAAGGCACTGGTCTTGTTTCTTTCAGAGACTCAGTTCCTCCTAAACTGTACAGTTCCTGAAATGAAGCCATTATTCATGATGATAAAATTCTGGAAAGAATTTGCATAATACATTTTTTCTCTTAATGAGATTTGTTGCCCTATTGATTTCAAGTTAATGCTTAATATTTCATTTAATTTACTGCCTGTAATTACAGTGTCAGAATAAAATAAATGTTACTTGTGTACCAACAACACTCCACTCTTAACAGGGCCATCCATCAATACCGTCAATTAGGTGAATTATACAATTAATTCAACATCATGAACGTGATCCCTCCCAAGGCGGGGGGGGGGGGGGAGGCTCCAAGGTGTGCCTGGGAGGTTACAGGTGTGGCGAGAGGATTGTCTCCCTGGTAGCCTGGGATGCAGCCACTCCAGAAGGCCCACCTGTGTGAGGTGTCATCACAGATAACAGTGTCAGCCTCTCATTGTCCTGAGCACACTCTGTGTCTGCTACAGGCGATGTCTCTCTAACCCCTGCCTGCTTTATTTCCCAGAAGGGCTTGAGCCCATAGCAGACATATTTGCAATGCAAAATAAAGACAAAGTCCTGGAAGGAGGCCCTTGCCGGGTGCTGGGCAGCATTTCCAGGCTGGGCTTTGAATGGGGCCATGATGGGGTTAGGTCAAACCCTCTGAAAGGGCCTGGAGTCCAGGAGGTCTGACACACAGAGACAGCTGTCCCGAAGGGTCCAGCCTAATGGGGAGCAGGGGAGCAGAACAGAGGGCGGCTGTGGCAGCTGCTCCTGAATCTGCTGCACAAAACCTGTGGACTTTACAGAACAAAACCAGACCAGTGCCTGGCCTCCCCTCTGATGGGGCATTCGGTCCTGTGGAGACACAAAGGTGCCTACGATTCCAAGTCCAAGACATTCTGGAATAGGCAAGAACCGCAGGGACGCGGGGGGAGGGGGAGGGGGAGGGAGGGGGAGCACAGGGGATTTGCAGGGCAGTGAGCTCACTCTGTGGGATGCTGTAGGGGTGGACACATGTCATTGGACATTTGTCAGACCCATGGCATGTGCCCTCCTGTAAACTGTGGGCTTTGGCTGATGTGTCAACGTCGGTTTGTTGGTTTTAACAAATGCACCACACAGATGCAAGACGCTGAGGTTGGGGGGTGGCCAGGGGAATGTGGGAATGCTCTGTACTGTCCACTCAGCTCTGCTGTGAACCTAAAACTGCTCTGAAAAAAGCAGAAAGGTATGAAATGGTATTGGGGTACTTCCTGGGAATTTCAGGTGTGGAGAAGGCTGCTGGACCCCAGAAGCCTACTGGAGGATCCTTGTGCTGTCTCTTCACTTCACGACTTACTGTGATCAAAAGGCACGAACACAGGGGTACAGCAGATTGCAGGGCCGAGCCCAGGCACCTGCACAGCCCCTGGGCCACAGGCCGCCGGTGGCCTCACGCAGCGAGCGCTCGGCCAGACCGGGTTCGATGCACGGGCTCTTTCGCCCCTGGCCTGCTCTGCAGGGACAAGGTCAGCAGACCACCCGGCCCTCCGTGGAGCCCACCGCCGCATGCACTCATGCTGCCTGCGGACTTCTCTTCCTCTGCAGGGCATCCAGATGGTGTGTGAGACTCTGACCGAGTGCTGGGACCACGACCCGGAGGCCCGGCTCACAGCCCAGTGCGTGGCGGAGCGCTTCAGCGAGCTGGAGCACCTGGACCGGCTCTCGGGGAGGAGCTGCTCCGAGGAGAAGATCCCCGAAGACGGCTCGCTGGGCCCTGCCAAGTAGCCCTTCCCGGGCAGGCTGGGCCGAGTCCAAAGAGGTCGCCCCTGTCGCCAAAGAGCAGAGGCAGCAGGAAGCTGCCCCTGAACCGGTGGATGCTTCCTGGACAACCAGGGCCCAGCGGCGGGACCGGCGGGACCACTGCGGGCAGGGAGCGGGTCCCATGAAGCATTCTACGCCTTTGACGTTGTCATAGGATAAGCTGTGTTAGCAGTTCCTCAGGAAATGAGATTGATTTTTACAATAGCTAATAACATTTGCACTTTATTAATGCCTGTATATAAATATGGAATAGCTATGTTTTATATATATATATCTATATATGTCTATATCTATATATACAGCCATACTCTGGAAAGAGACAAAGGAAAGATCAGATGTCCCAGGAAACCGGTTTGATCGGAGCACTCCCGAGCCGAGCGCAGAACAAGGGATCCATGACATTAGCACTTGACAATCACACCTGGGATAAATGGTTCTCTGAGGACACTGGGGGGGGGGGGTGCAGGAGGAGAGGGGCTCGTGTCTCAGAGGCTGCTATGGCCACGTGGCACTCGCTATTGCAAAACCATTCCCTGAATTTGGGTCCTCCTCTGTCCACAGAGCTGCTCTAGCCACACCGCCTGGGGACCAGATCCCGGGATCCTGTGTGTCCCTGCTCCTCCTGGGCCGGTCACGCGAGCTCCAAGCCCCACATCGGGCTTGTGAACCACCGTCCTCAACCAGCTCAGAAACTTCGCCCCACCTCTGAGAGTTAACATTTTGAGCCCTGTTTTGCCTTCACAGGCTGCAGAAAAATCAAGACAGAGTTCCCTGTCCATGAAATGGCCACACCTTCTACTAATAAGATATATAAATATATATATATATTTTTATTTCCCCCTAGACCTATGTTACTCTTGCTCCCTCCCAAGGCCTTCTTCATAAAAAGGATCACGTCTCTTCAGGGTTCTTTGTGTTGTTGTCCACACGCTTGGTGTGGGTCTGCAGCTTTCTGAACAATACCAGCAGGTCCCACCCCCGGGCTCCTGGATGCCCGAGTGTGCGTGGGCCTCATGGACAGGATCTGACGGCGCGATGCTGCCCCAGTCAGGACTGCTTCCCCGGCGCTCTGAACATGTGTTGTGCTTGGCCGGCGCTGCGTTTCACAAAATTGAGCCATTTTTAAAATATTTGGAGATTTGTCACACACACATACCCATCCAGATTCTCAAGTGAGCCGGCTTCCAGTTCTCTCTAACCCACATCATTCCTAAAATGAGAGTGTGGACACACTTACGAAGCCGCTTCACTTCTTGATGTACACGCTGGTGTCTTCTGCCCCCTGCCCGGCGTGAGAATTAAACCTGTCCCGAACCAAGGTCCCCTGTAAGGAAGGTGCATTGCAGCGGTCATTCTTGGCTGTATAATATGTCTGCGATGCCCTCCCTCTCCCCGATCTGGTGTTAAGATTCGAAGCTGGCCATGTTTTAAGTTTTCTGGACTAAAGGGGACCTCCTCTAAGAGGTCCCAGTGAACCCACATCTCTTTGGTCTCTATGCTAAGAGCGCTCCCCTTTGCATTAGGGTGGGGAGCCCTTCCCTGCAAGAAGCTTTCTTCCTGACCACTGGTGTCTCCATCACACCAGCCTTCGGAAGCCTGGCGAAGTTTCCTAGTGAGGACTCCAGTGTGGGACGCAGGAGACTGCCTGCAGCCACGAAATGCGCGTGGACAAGAACGAACATTTACACACCATCGGACCCTTGTTCACCCACAAATGAGGGTTAACGCTGCAAAATCTCTCGCATTGTAAAAAATGATCTTGAAGCTACTTATTTTCAGCCAAATAGGAATCTTAAAGAGGGACAGGCAGGGAGCAAGTCAGCTCTATTTGGATGTTGGGAGGTCTCATCTCATTGGGGTTTTGGCAGACACGCTGAAGTTTGGGATTGGGTGGAACTTCTAGGCACCCTGCCCCGTGGGGTGGGCTGATAGTTGGAGGAGAGGCTGGCTGCCATACTAGGAGTGCCCAGAAATTCCGTGCACTTTAAGGCTTGTTGACACCATCCCAATAGCTGTTGCTCATTGACCTCTAGTGGTGAATTTCTAGAATACTGGTCCATTGATGATTCAAAAGAGCTTTATCCCTTCTGGGTCATTGTCAGCATAAACTGGAATGTAGTAGGAGATGATACTGTGGCTTGTTTTGTTTGTTTGTTTTCTTATTCAAGAAGAAGACCAAGGAATAACCTTCTGTAGTTCCTAAAAATACTGACTTTTTTATTTTTACTACTATACATAAAGGGAAAGTTTTATTCTTTTATGGAACACTTCGGCTCTGCTCATGTATTAAAATAGGAATGTGAAAGCTCAGTACTCTTTTTATATCAAATGTCTCAAGCACTTATTTTCATACTGTGCATCGTTCATCTTTTATATAAATAAAATGTTTATTAGATTGAATAAAGCAGAAATACTCAGGTCAGCTTCTTGTCTCCTGTTCCTATTCATAGCGGGTTAAGCCCCTTAGCCCCACTTGGTTATTTTGCAGTTCATGGAGAAAAATAGCACAAGACATAATCCTTTCCAACTTTTCCATTCTCATTGCCTTCTTCAACTGACAATCTCAGGTCCCCTTTGAAAAAAGAAAAGCATTCATAGACGTTCAATAATAGGAGATGCAGCAGGTGCTCTGGGTGGCCTGCCCCTTACCCCAGAGCCCTGGCAGGGTCCCTCTGCATCTCCTTCCTGTCATCTCAGCCTGTCCCCTTCCCCCCACTGTCCATGGAGCTGCCTCCATCCCAGGACCACAGGATCACTTCTCCCAGGGCTTGGCACAGCCAGGGTTGATGCCAAGAGCACGCCTTGCTTCTATTCCCCTGTCCTTACACTGCCAGCCGGCCGTTGACTCTCTTTGTGACTTCTGCCTGGTGTCATGCTTTGTTCCTCTTCCTTCCTACCCAGCCCCGGCATCCCACAGGGAGAGGCTTGCAATCAGCTTATCCGCACCACCAGGCAAACCTGCCTTGGGCAGTTGGCTTCAGGTCATCGCTTACAGGCTTTCTGGTGACAAAGCATCTGTGGTTTCTCTGCCTCAACTTGAAGCTCCCTGTTTTGGAATCAGATACTGTGGCTTCCTCTGAGTTTATCAGCTGTGCTCTAACCAGTGAAGGTTCTGAATAGTGAAGACAGTGGTGCCTAGTCAGGGTTTCTGAACCTCGGCACTACTGACGATTTGCGTTAGATAATGGTTTGGGGAAGGGTCTGTCCCCTGCACTGTGGGTTGTATAAGAGTATCCCTGACCTCTGCCCACTAGAGACCAGTAGCACCCACCCCACAGCTGTGACAACCAAACTGTCACTATTACTGCCAAATGTCTTCTGGAGGGACAGAAATTGCTCTCTGTTGACAATCACTGAGCTAGGTGATGTGGTCCATAATGCTCTGGGCATTAATTACAGATCATCTTTTTTTTTCTTATTGACTTTAGAGAGAGAGGAAGGGAGAGGGAGAGAGAGAGAAACACTGATGAGAGAGAGCATTGATTGGCCACCTCCTGCATGCCCCCTACTGGGGATCGGGCCCACAACCTGGGCATGTGCCCTGACCGGGAATCGAACCGGCGACCTCTCGGTGCATGGGTCGACGCTCAACCACTGAGCACACCGGCTGGGCTATAGACACAATTTTAACTAATCGCTTGGCAGTCTTAGTGGTGACTTATTTTAGCAGTTACCTGCTCCTCCATTTGCCATGTGACCTGGGCAAATTACAAACCCTCTCCAGGTCCCATCCCAGCTTCAGATGGGATTTTATGGGCCTCCACCTATACAAGATACTGTGGCGGCCAGAAATGCACGCCAGGCCCCCGGAGTGGGTCTTGACCGTGGAAAGCCTTCATTTGGCAAATATGAAGTTAGTTTAGTACGCCAGGGCTGCTTTCTCAAAGAGGCGGATTTCGAGGTGGATCCTGGAAAACATGAAAAACCAGAGGAGAAGGAGGCATGTGCCGCAGGCCTGCAGAACAGGCAGGTTCCTGTCCGGAGGGAGGCTCGACCCTCTGAGGCGAACCCGACTGCGCCGTGTGTCTGCTGCGGCAGCAGGTTCTACCCTCACCGGCTCTGTGAGCTGGACAGGATGCCCATTTCACAGATGAGAAATCGTGCCCGGAGGACTCCGGTAAGAAGTCTCAGAGAGATAGAATCTTTGTGCAAAGCCAAGTTGCCTTGAAAGGAGAACTTGGAAAAACTTGTAATAATAATATGGAATACTGCTTGGTTCTCTGTTACGCTGTCTCCTAGGGAACTGGTCTGCCCAGCGGGATGAGAACCCCCGTCTCTAGGGTGACATGCCGGACCCCTCCTCCCCAGAGGACCTTCTCTCTCCTTTGCATGCCTGTCTGCTCAGCAAGGGCGGGCAGGTGCGTGGCGTTTCCATTGCCCAGCGTGCCCTCCACCGGCCTGAGAAGCGTCGTCTGACTTCTCGCTGAGAACCATCGTCTGACTTCTCGCTGAGAACCACTGAGCAATGAATGACCGTGTGGACAGGATCCCCAAACGTGTGCAACGTGCGCTGGTATCTCAGATGATTTCAGGTTGTGCCAACCTCCAAAAACACTATGTCAGGGGGGCTGTCGCTTTTTTAATGTGTATTAGATAAAAAATAAACACATTAAACCCGGGCCTTCCCAAATATTATCAACCTGAAATATAGCCCAGTTTAAAAACTCGCATTGATTTTGTTAAATGCATGAAGTACACAACGGTACTTATTCTCGGCAACTGCAGGGGACGTGGGCGTGAGTGATGGAAGTTAGGTCACACGAGGAAGCAACCCCGGGGTAATTGCTAGCATGGACTGAACACTCTGTAAGAGTCGAACATTCTTCTCTGTTTTCTGCATCTGCTTTCCTCTCTACCCCATGCTCAGGGGGTAGTCTTGCCTCCGCATCAGAGATGAGGGAACTGAGGCAGAGAGAGAGGGCTTGCTCCCAGTCCCACCCACAGCAATCTTCGGGCCAGGATTTGAGGTGAAGCCGGCAGACGCCGAGCCCACGCTCCTGATTGGACGACGATGACGCTATAGTTAGAGGACAAGGAGGAGGGTCTGAGGGTCTGATTCCTTCGCCTACAGCCCAGAGGAGGAAGATGCCATTTGCCCTGCAGGGGAGGGGTTGACCATCAGAGAGCCCAGGGCAAGTCATTCCTCCAAGGCACATGGACTCTGGGCTCCAGCCCAAGAACTTCAGGCAGAACAGGAGCCAAGGTCCTCTGACCCCCTGCGGGCTCCATTTTGCCAGGGTTATTTCAGTTCTAGCTACCGCAAGGTCCGGGGTATTCCCAGTTGGCAATGAGTCTCCATGTGCCCTCTGCAAGGGCAGGGTCCCTTGCACCAGACATCAGTTTTGAATGCAGGCTCTGTGTGCCCAGGAGTTTCTAGCAGGTGGTGGTGGGTTTTGTTTGAAGTTCTCTATGCAAATGATGTGCCAGTGGCGCCGTCCAGAGGGAAATGCCTCCCCTAGGTGACTGACAGAAAACCTTTCATTTAAATGAGTGTGTCCATCCTTTTCCACAAAAGTCACTGCGGTTGGCATCTGCTCATTTTGCTCATTTCTTCCTGAAATAGGCTGCCTAATCGTTGCTTATCACATTTCCCATTAGGTTTTTTTTTTTAACTTGAATAATTATAGCTCCAGACTATGGGTTTGGTGACACGGTTTTCAGGCCTACTTTGCAAACTGTGCTGATAAAGACAAGATTGTGAACTTTCCCACATAGCACGGCCTGCCAATCAGCCTCACACGGTGCAATTTAATTCTAATACAACTCCTGATCTTTGGTGCATTTAAAAATAACTTGTTAATAGTCTTCCTCTTCTAATTAAGTTAAAATTGCATACACTGTGAAAGGCTCTCTCTGCACACACACACACACACACACACACACACACGCGTGCGCGCACGCACACACACACACATGCTTCATCATTAGAAAATCCTTTCTGCATGCAGCTTATCCTCAAAGTCTTCTCTCCATCTATCCATAGATGGTGGGCAATAGTATAACCACTGGGGACCTCTAGAGCCAGACCCCTTGGTTTGAATCCCATCGCTGCCACTGAGTAGTGGCAGGACTTTATGTTTTCTCAGTGTGTGAAATGGGGTTAATGACAGAACAGACCTGGGAGAGTAGTAAGAATTACTCTTAAGAATAGAGTTACGAGACAAAGACAAAGACCACATGATTTCATTTGTATGTGGGATCTCAAAAACAAAATAAACGAACCGGGGAAACAGAAATACACATGTCGATACAGAGAACACGCTGATGGTTGCCCGAGGGCAGGGGATTAAGGGTGGCTAGGTGCAAAGGGAGAAGGGATTAAGAAGCACAAATTACCAGTTATAAAAACAGTCATGGGGATGAAGAGTACAAGACAAGGAATATAGTCAATAATATTGTAATAATTATGTATGGTGTCAGGTGGGTACCAAACTTATTGGGGGATCGCTTTGTGAGTTCTATAAATGCCTAATCACTATGTTGTACCCCTGAATATTTTATGTCGATTACAATTAAAATTGTTTTAATTACTAAAAAAAAGTGGAAAGAGATAGATGAACCAAGAATGACAAAATACTGATTATTACTAGAGTGGAGTGATAAGAAGAGAGAGAAGGAAAAATAAAGGAAGGAAGGGTAGAGTTGCTGTTTTAAAAGTGGTTGGAACAGAGAATGGTGCATATAAACATCAGTTAATAAGATTTTACATTCTACCCTAAAATGAGGCTGTGTTGTGATATTTGAAAGACATTGTTTCTAAAATGTTGGGTAAAATGAATACCTGAGGAATAGGAGTCCCGTTTATCTGTAGCTGTGAGCGACCACCCCCATGCTTGGGGGGCTATCTCATTGGGTAGGAGCAGCATGTGGTGCAGGGTCCTGGGAGACCGGAAGTCTTGGGTGTTAGTCTGGCCCCACTACCCACCACC